GGGTACAGGCATCATGTGTGCAAATTTTATTGCGCATGTTCTTTTTTTTACTCAGGTACATACTATTGAGTGAAGCCATATATTGAGTAAGATGATGTCTTCATTTCACTGAATGTAGATATTTTGGTTGACCAGTCTGTTTCAACGCTTGTGCCTGAAAGTGGGTGTCTGGGTACTAGACAGTACTTTTTCATTGCTATTAAGGCTTTGGGAAACCACAGCCTTTGAGAAGTCACGTGGCTAATTGGCTTTCTGTGGCTCAGGATAAATGATCTAGCTTGGTGACCACACTGCAGAAGGATGAAAGATCTATTTCAAAAAGTTAAAGGAACATAACCTCACGCCTAAACCATTTTGCTGGAGTAAAACTATAGTCTTAGTGGTTGTTCCGGCTTGACATTCAGATCCTGGGAAAATGGAAGTTTTAGAACAATTTGAGTTAAAACTTCACATTCCAATCATTCTCTAGCATCAGTAGTACTGGAGAACCAAACTAAACTCTTTTAGGATAGTCATTTTGAATAAAAATCAGACTTTTAAGATACCTTTACTAGACTAGCCCAACGATTACAGTATTTATCGAGGACATCCAGGTTTTAGTCCCTGCTATGTGAAAGATTTGGACTGAGAAAGGGTAAAATATAAAATATTTTAACTACTTATTAAATACTTTTGCTAAATAAGGCTTGGCATCTGCTTGTATCTTTAGTAAGGCATGTAGGCACCTTTTTAAAACTATAAAACCAGATATCTTGCCATTACCACAAATCTCAGATCTGTAAGAGAATTGCCAGCTTGATTTTTTTCTTTTTTGATAAAACAAGATGTTAGTGTTTTAAATCAGTGTACCTCTCCTCCTCACTTTCACTGATGCTCTGACAGAAAAAAAAATGGCTGGTTCTGTAAACTGGAGTAGTTAAAGACAATGTGGTAGTAAAAGGACTGACTGACATTTGTGACTGTCTTGACTCAAGCAACTCAGGTATGCTCGGAAGACCCTATTGAGTTGCAATCACTGTCTTAAGAACAAGGATCCAGCTCAGCTGCATGAAGGTGAACAGAGAAACAGAAAAAAGGCACTTGGTCTGATGGGTGAACTTATTCTCGTATTATTCTAGTCTCAGAGAATGTTTTTGATTTGTATTGTGTGTTTCTAGGTCTTCTTTTACTGTGTTCCTCCCATCCTTACTTTGAATTTTACAGTAGAGCTAGGCATACGTGGAGAGGAGAATAACGTTTTCTTACTGTCGCTTTATTCTACAAACTTAACCAAAGAATTCTAAAAAAAAGAAAGAATGCTAGCAACAAATTCCAGTCTCTGGAGAAATTCATGGTAAAATAAAAGATACTCGAAAAGCAGTGAGGATGGAGGTGATATTCTGGAGATGGTATGTGTTCTGTTTCCTGAGAGGCAGCTTTATTCTCCTAAATGAATGTTTCTGAGTTTATGAGTCATTGCCCTTTGTTACATGTTATTTTGTTCTTTTATCCTTGGAGGGATTTTTATTCTGTTCCCCCCTCCCCCCTTTTTTTTTTTTTCTGGCTTCTTTGATGGAGATGGACCAGAATGGCAAAAGCACTAAGGAAATATCTGGTTTATTTTTCACTCAGAAGTAATTGTACAAGCGCTAGAAAGTTCATGAACTGCCAGGGTATGCAGTGTCCTGTTCTTATTTCCACTCTGGGCTGTCCCCGTCTCCCCTCCCTCTCCTCCCTTCGGTTCAACAGATGCTGATTGTGATGTCAGCATGGGATTGTCAGAGTCCTTTTTAGCTTCGAAGTGTTTAACAGTTGTGTGTTTGGTAGGGAACCAACTCACCATCCACTATCAGAGGCCTCAGTTCAGTTCAGTTGACTGTATCGCTACAATTTCATTAGCACAAACACTGCACTAAAATTGCAGAGAACAGTGGAGGATAAAGATGAATAAGGTCATTGCAGTTCGGCTTGTGTCTTATGCTGAACAATCTGCAATCCATAAGGTATCTTCATTGACAACAGCAGAGACGAGGTGAATAAAATCAAGCCTTCCTTAAAAATTCCAGTGAGACAGTATCTAACCTTTAAATATATAGCTTTTTACAGGTCTGTAGTTGTATGAAGGAATTTTCAGTTAGTGTCCTCTTACTGTAATTAAAATGACAATTGAAATTGATTGTCTCTTGCTAGGAGATCAACACCTGTTAGAAGGACGAACTCTGGAAGTGGTGACCTACGATTCATAACACAGGTGTCCTATAAGACACAGCACAACCAGTGACGATGGCAGCATCTTATGAGGCAATCCAGTGCGTTGGAAATGATGACAATGACCACAGGCACTGCTTTTACAGGGGTATATGGCCAAAACGCTTCGCGTGCAGCTTTACTAGCTGTTTACTACAATCCTCTTCTGGAATATGCTGCCACGCGAAGGGTCTGACCTCAAGGGCTTTGATCAGATTCAGGCATCTGGTACAGCAATGACAACTTGGTACATCATTTGTGTTTTCTCCATCCAGGGTGCCTGCAGCTGTTTTGCCAGGCTTCGAGCTTCTTTCAGTGAAGAACGCTGCTGGTGTCTCTGAGAAATTTGTCTTTGAACCTTGCTGTGGTGGCAGGGTGTGCCAGAGGCCCCATTTAGTGACTGTCAGCCGTGTCCCAAGGGGCAGGATCATCTCAGGGCGCTCAGTCCCTCTAAGCCTCTGACGTAGATTTATGTGCTCTGAGCTTCTAGTTTTCCCATGATGTTGGTGGCAGTCCAACCTCCTGTGCCAGCTACGTTGCTCTTTCATTCCGGTGATGTGTGAGGGAAAATGAGTTACAGAAAGGTTTTTTTTTTTTTTTTTTTCTGTAGAATAAAAAGTAAATTCAGTGAAGATCTGAAGACCTTCAGTGAAGAATAATTCCCTCTATTTAATTCTTAAATTTTCATTTACCTTAGCCAGCCCTGGTCTCACACCATTTTTTCAGTCCGGTGCTGATCTGAACTGGCTGCCCATCCATTCACCCTCTCCTCTTTAATCTGGTGTCTTCAGAAGCGTAGAGTTCTCTTTGAACCAGAGCTTTTGGTGGAGGGAAATACGCCTCGGAACAACATGCAGATTTATCTAGAGGTAATTCTTCCAATTAGTAGCCTCCTCAAGACAGAATACTTTTTCACAGTATCTCTTCAGTGGGATTGTTTGGTTTTCTGTTGGCTTCCCCCTCACAGTCTGCTTTGATTTGATGCTGCATGCTCAGACGAGACTATCGTACATGCAACCGGAGGGAAATGTGATATACATGCCCTATGAGCAGAGTAAAACTCCTTCATGCTGTGCAGAAACACAAAACTAGGAAGTCTTAGTTTAATTCCTGTTTAAAACAAAATAAATAAGTAAGCTGGGTAGGGTATGAACTGCATTTACGTTATCAGATGGTCACATCTGAATTTGCCTTCACTGCTCCTGAATTATGGCCTGGCACTAAGCTAATGTTGAGTTCTTTACCTTGAAGGTAAATCAGATGGGTAGCTTAGCAGTTCTCTTTCTTTTCTTTCTCTCAATCATACACATATATTACATACAACCTGTGTCCCTTTCAGGTCATTCTAGAATCAACACCCGTAATGTTTGCTCTCCAGGGAGATGGACGAAAAATCGACAACAAAATTTCAATGCTAAAATGAGCTATTTTTGAAAAAAATAGTAGTGCCTGAGAGAAAAGCCAGGGAGAAAGAAAAAAAGAAATAGTTTAAAATAATCACTGTAATAAGGCAGTCAGTTGGAAAATTACTAATCAGGAGTCAGCCCTAAGACTTATCAGAAAGCTACAGCCTAATGCTTATCTGAGGGCTTCATGCATTAAACTCCTCTTCTTTTCCTGCTTCATCAGGGGCATGGAGAAATCTCTGAGTGCAATGAAAATTAGTAGTTAGCAAGAGTGGAGAAGTTCTCCCCTTTGCAGTCTGAGCTGCATGTCACATTAGAGCCACTCCTGTGCCAGGCAGGGGAAGTATTAGTAGCCCTGACATGAGTCTTCTTCAGAGATTTCACTTGGATGCTGTCAAACAGCTCCCAAAGTGATGCTTCTGAACTATGTCAATTAAATAAATCTGACGGTTCACATGCCAAAAGCGGACTTACAGAGAAAGGAGGCAGAAAGGGTTAAGCAGAAAATTCAAAATGTGACCACAAGCTCTAAAAGCTTTCAGCCTGGCTCTGCTGCAATTAGGGAAATGCCAACGGACTACACTGGTATAGTAAATAGTGCTGGTTTTGAAATCTACTTTGGCAAAGCTCCTTTCCGTAAGGTATGACCTCCTGAGGTCCTGTCTAACCTGAATTATCCTGTGATTCAACGATCCTGTGAGATATTATCTGTAAATGGCTGTAACGCTTGAAAATACTGGTTCAGCTGTTGTGGCCTCTCTATTAGGTGCCGTGACTGTCAGCATTTTCCTTAGCAGAACCTCTTCTGTTCATTACTCTTTAAATTATTCACATTCCCTCAGAAACTTCTCTTCCAGGACTTCAGTGAATTCATAGGAACAGCCAAAAGCACGCAAATTCTGATTTCTACCATCATGTGTCTAGGGTCTTTGTCTCCTTAGCCTAATCTTTTACAGGAGTGATCTGTGCTGCTCCTGGACACCTGTCTTTTAGTAAAATGAAATGGAAAAAAATTATTTCCGGTATAGGAATAGCAAGAGAGTTAATTAAAATTTGCTTTGAGATGCTTACACAGAAGATGTTATTTACTTTTTGATTTATCTTGTCTTTCCATAATGTTATCATTCAATCCTAATTAAACATTTTACCTCTTAATTACTGCTTTGATCTGGCTTTTCTTGAGTCCTCCTGAAGACGGAGCCCAGTAAGGTTATTGGAAAGATTCCAGCTGATTACAGTAAGCTTTGCATGAACTTCAAGATGCCAAACAAAATGTGATAACACATTTATGGATTTGTAAAGCAAAATACTTGAACTGTTTAAAATGCCTGTTTATATGTGTCGTCTAGGTGATGACCTGAAAAAATCATGTCTGAGGTCCAGGGAACGGTCGAGTTTTCTGTGGAGCTACACAAATTCCATAATGTGGATCTCTTCCAGAGAGGGTGAGTTGATGTTTCCATTTGCTTTCAGCTGACTGCAGAAGAGTCATTTACAGAACAGTGTTAAACTCCAAAACAAGTGGTTTCCTGACAGAGGCAGATATATTTCATGTAATCTGTGGGGAAGAAGGATGTCACTGGTCTTTCACTGCTGTCAGGGAAGATCGGTGGATGTGACTTTTGCTATAAAGTCAGACTGACTGACTTGTTTTTGTGATACACTGTTAGAATGCTCCAAATTATTTTAAGCATGTGTTCAGAAATAGGGACAATAGCTGCTTTAAACTCTTTCGGACTGATGTTGAGCCTCTGTGGTAAAGGATAGCTGCATTGCACTCTAGTGAAACTGCTCGTTGTAGGATCATATACGTATGTCTATGTCTATATATACTTTTAATGAGGTTTAACAGAATCCCACCATTCAGAGACCTGGAAGAAGGGAAGGTGAATGCGTTTTCTTTAAAGCGCTGGTTCTGTCGACCACCTTGTATTCTCATATCCCTGCAAGTTAGAAGAACACATACAACTTCTGCTTAACTCAAACTTTTGCCCCTTTTCTTTTGTCTACCCTTTCCTGGTAGCTTTTTTAGCAACACTGCGGTTTTTAAAAGGAAAAATGTGTGTGGTTAATCTGCTTAGATGATGGACCCCACAGGTGTTTTTCAGTGAGGAAAAGATATGACATTGATGGACTTTTTGAGAAGAACAGAAAAGACAGAAGCATCAAAAGAATATACTAGTCTAGAAGAATATTATTTCCTTTCATCTATGAGAATCGATGTATGTATCCCATTAGATATTTTCTGTTAATCCTTACCTGTGCATGGGGATGGCTGATCTGTCTATCTGTAGCACCGTTTCCAGCAATTAAACGGTGAAACTGTTTCAGGTATTGGACTGGTGTGTTTCCATGTGCATACAGGCTTTTTGTTATTAGCTTTTGCTGTGCTGAACTATGTGGAAAAGATGCTGTGATCATATAAGAAAGACATTGTGTTTATGGACCTATGCTAAAACTTTTAGTCATGAATTATATTTCCCAATAATTTTGATTGTGTTGCAATATGGCATTTGTGAATTGGAATAAGTTTGTTTTTGTTTTTGTTTTTTTGCTTTCAAGTGGGGAATTACTCTTGCTGACTTGTTTTTTACATTCCCTTTAGAGCAAGATAAGCCCATTAGATTCAGCAAAATGACATGATTTTTGCCTATTTGAGATGGAAACGTGACCCCACAAGTCATATAAAAGAACCAGGGAGGAGTATGCTGCCCTTATCTGTTTTTCAGTGAAATGGAGGGAATATAGCTTTACTTCATTTTAATGGCTGGCATCTGCTATTCTGTTCATGCTCCCATGTGAATATTTACCAACTTTACGTCTGAAAGCATTTGAACTATACTCAATTGATCTATTAAATTGAGAAAAACGCTTTGTGTTTGAGATATTTGGTTTACCTGAGTTACAAAAGAAGTCTGCTATGTATTTCACTGCTTAAGACCATAGGAAACAGTCCTATTTGTAGAGTTTTTTCCTGTTCTTCTAATGGCCACTGTAATGTATTTGAACTTCCTCGTGTTTGAAAATCCACATCCATCTGTTCAGTGATTTGTTTGGACTTAGGACATTCACAGGTTAGCCAGGGATCTTCCCATTTCTCATGATACTCTGTGATGAGCCGGCCATTTTTGGCATAGGGGCTTACTTCTGCATACAATAATTTCTCTAAAAAACTTTGGCTGTGTCGGATCAACTTTCTGTTGTGGGAGTAAACCCAGCACCAGTACAGACAATATATTCTGCTGTCATACTAATGAGTTTCTAATTACCTTTGCATTTTTCCCTACGGGTTCTTACTGTGTTTTACTGATTAATATTCCAGAAATACAGTACTATAGGTGATGCTGCATTAATTTGTTTATAGTAATTTTTCTTTCTATTTGTATCTTACACAATGTTAGTTGCTTTCCTTCCATACTTATACCTCTTGCATTTTCACCAAAATCCGTTACTGTGTCTCACGCTAGTTGATCAACATCGTTTGGCTGACTTCATCTACTTAGTGGCCCCTATTACTGTAACAGCTGTGGATAAAGAAAAGTAGTAGATGAGCTTATCAAATTTCATTTGGAACTTGGATTCAGCTTTATTTTTCCTTTCTGCCGTTGTTAATAGTCATTGCAGACACCTGGGATATCTTGGATTGATACCTGGTCACCCCAGATGAGAGGGTGGTAGAAGTAATAACAACATGAACTTTCTATTTAAACTGTTTTTTTCCCTATGTGTGTTTCATAAATTAGGTCAATATCACTCTGTCCCCCTGAAAGCCAGCAAGGTGATTTGTGAAAGACTGTCCATCAGAATAGCAGTGGAGGTGAAATGGGTCTTTATTTCTGTGGGAACCCAATATGCTTTGGCTTTTTAACAACAAAAACAGGAACAACTACAAAGAAGCATCGATAATAATTAGTATTATTTGTTACTATTCTTCATATTTTGTTCCAAAACAAAATGAAAAAAACAAAAACAAAACAAAACAAGATAATGATGAACCCGATTCCGTATCCCTGCAAATACATTGTAATCTTGCCAGTGACATTAATGAGAATGGACTGGAGTCTTAGATCCCATATCTTATGGAACATCACTAGCTGTTGTATGCCTAATTTCAGCTAATAATCTGAAAAATGAAGCTGGACCATAGGGTTGAATTCCCAGGTAAGAACTGTATACCTGTGAAGAAAGGAGGATGGGATTTTCCAAAGTCTTGGCAAACTCTCCTTCTACAGACAGTACCTTTAGGGAGGGCATGATTGAGCCAGCAGTGAGCACTTCTGAAAAGAGCACTCTAGGCATCTAAAGGATTGAATAAAGCTACGAGAGGTAGCAGGAGAATCCTGGAAGAATCATCGCTTCTGGAGCCCTTAAGGTGGTGGTCCTTAACTTGATTAAGGACATGGTTTGCTGGCTGTAAGTCAGAGTTGAAGTGGTTTAAATGTTAGATCCTCAGAAATGGTTTAAGGGATTCTGTTCTACTTGTAATTGCGCTGGAATCTATTCTGAATTGTATGTACACGCACTGCCACCTGCCACCCCTCCCTTCCCCCAAGAACTGGAAACTCCTTAATCTACCCAAATTCCAAGCCTTGTTATATGTGAACGAGAGTCTTAGGAGATGAAATAATGTTTCTTAACCCACATGAATGTTTAATATCGAAAAGAGACTCTGATACAAAAGTAATTATGATTTTTTTTTTTAATTATGATTTTATGTTCCAGGCACATGTACCAGGAACAGTCATTAGTAAATTATGAGTTGCAGGTAGTTTACTTTGGTCAGTTATTAGTGTTAAAATTATCTTCTTCTGAAGCATAAACATAGCACTGTCAGTATTTACAGACATTAAAGGTTAAATGCCATAGATACAGCTGTAGGGGAAGAAAGAAACTTTGCTTTGACAAACCGAAGGAACTGCACTGCTGTTTGATGCCAGAGTTCTAAAGGTCAAGTAATAAATAATGTAATTTCTAGAAGAAAAAAAACATTTAAAATTTTTCCATCCTAATTCTCTCCATCATGTGCCGCTTAATAGCTGGTGACAGATATTTTCTCTAGTGAAATTAGCTAACTGATTCTGATTTTCCTTAATAGAGTAGGAAATAAAATTATCCCTGACTGCCAGAGATCAATTAATTGATTTGTCTGGTTCTGTCAGAAGCAATGCTTCTGCACCGTTATTCTTAAAGCGTTTCAAAATCTATTTGATAGATTTCATTACTTAAAAAAAAAAAAAAGGTTGCTGTACTCACAAGGTGTAAATAAATTTTTGAGTCTGAGAGGGAATAGAGGGCACAAAGAAGGTGAAATAGTGACTTCATAATGTTAGGATTCTGGTAGTGATGTAGTATAAAATAAAGACCAAGGTAAATCGTTAGATACCAATCATAGGGCTTAGTCAACTGCTTACCAATCTTTTGGACTCCCTAAATTTCAGGCAGCAATTTGTAAGTGTCTAACACTTGGTGGTGGTAATGGCATTTGTTTAGGGGTGGAGTCTGATAAGAAACTAGTTGGAAAATGAAGAGGGAAATGAAATGTCTTCCATAATGAAGACATTACCCTTGGGAGCAGATCGGTGGACTCAGACTTTCCAATATCCTGCAGGTATCAGACCAAAGAATTCTTGCCATTCAGAGGTGCCTAAAAGATGATGCTTAGCTATGGTGGACAATGGCTTTACGTGGCAAAACAGCATTTTTGCCTACCAGATGGACAATATTTCAATGTTCTTACTCTTTAAGTTATCAACTTCAAAGACACGGTATAGCAGCTCCTCTTCTCAGTGCAGTGGGGTTCTGCCAGGAGCCAAGGCTCTTCCTCAGCTTGTCAGGATAGATACATGGGAAATATTCATCATGTTCAGAGGTTCAGAACTTGTTTCTGGAGTTTTTGTGGTACAGTGTCAGGATATGTCAAAAAGTTGATTTAAAAAGTGTAGGATGGAGAGAAATCTTGTTACTTTTTTTTTTTCCAGATAGGATGCATTTATTCAAGCTTCCCACCTCTAATGAAATACAAAACACTTTTGAGCTGTAAATCTGTTTGTTTTTTGAATATGCTTACATAGTTCATTTAAGATGCATGGATTCTAACTAAAATAAATGAAGTAAAAAATAAAACGAAATAAAATAAAATATTGCTAGCAGGCATGCCAATGTGATGCATTTCTGGAAAAATGATTGGTGTCCCTTGGAACAGATGTACTGATAGAACTGACCTTTTTCTTAGCTTGAGGAATATGAAATAAATACAAGAAAAAAAAAAGTATTTTTCTTGTCAAAAAAATCCACCAATAGGAATAGGAAGAAATGACTGTCTGCGTGGACATATAGAGATAGCTGTGAGCCTGCTCCACTGAACTGACAAGACTCAAACCAGTGCAGCAAAACCCTGTACTCGTGAAAGTAGTTGAGATGCAGGTGCTCAGCTAGCTAAACATCA